TTTATCGCTCTTGTAGTACCCTTACCGCATCAACAACATGTACCTCATCAACATCATCGGGAGTTGCCTCCCAAATATATCGTGGGTATCGCATGTCGTGGACCGGCGTGACATCGTTTCCCTCATTGTGGGTGTCACTGATTGAATCCTCGAAATGAGGTTGGTCTCCTCGAACCTCAGAATTGTGTGTGTTGTTAACACCGTTATCTGTCATTTCTTATGATTTTTTCTAAGACAAATAATCAAAACACATTAGTAAAAGAGGCAAGGCTCAACTTAATTACACGGTTGTCTAGGCCCCACGATGGGCGCCAAACTGCTTATCCGTAAAAGGGTACAGTTGAATTTATACGTGGTTTTTGGACATTTGAATTAATTCGATCCTGAAATAATGAAATAATTGAAAAATGTATAACACTTAGCCTTAATATGAAGACGAAAAAGAAGAAATAATGATTCCGATAATAAGGCCTCCGGGCACAACAGTTATAAGAATAAAAAGTTAGAAGATAAAGTTGTATAGAGCTTTGAATAGATTACTGTATCAGCTTGCCAGAAAATTTGTGTCCACTATAATGAGAATAGAGCTCACTATTTATAGCAACGTCTAGGGAACAAGTTCCTAGGATCATGTCTTCTTTAATGTCAACTATGAGGGTCATTGATGGAGGTGCAACGGTGAGCATGAATGACAATTTCTTTGTAACGAGCAGTGCATTCAATGTTGTGGAATATTCTTCATTAATGCCACTGGACGGAGGGCATTTATTGCCTCTTTATGAGTGTCATTCCTTTCGGTACCAAATGGGATAATTGTCTTCGGTTCCACGTGTCATTCTTTTAAGCGGCCACCTAGCATAGCATATTTTATCCTATACATTATCGCTCGTGACTTGTACTACCAATCCTTAGGAAGTTATATAAAATTCAGATATTTCTCTTTTTGGCTTCATATTAATTTCAGTAGAATTGTGTTGACTGTATTTGGCTTACTTAGCGGATCGGGTTAGGTGACGTCACGACTAGGTGGATTTGGGATCATGACAATATGAGACGAGTTGATTGGTCCAATTACCGGCAGCCACGTGAATTTTTAAGGCTGTGTTAGAGTTTTTAACGGGGTAGAAATTTACCAAATGAGTTAGCTCTCAATATTTTCTTGACAGCGCGTATAACTGTGTAGTTAGCACGCGATCCACAGAGTTGCGCACTGCATCAAAGGATGTGGTTTAAGGGTTGTGTTCCCGCCCATGCACGCCATTTAAACTTCACTGCCATTATCGTTTAATAGTCTTCTGACAACCATCATTGGGGCTTTAATGCAATAATCTTTATCTTTTCTTGCATCTAATAAATAAATCATTAATAAAAGAATTACAAGAAAATACAGATGATTTCACACCATAATAAAAAATAGTTCATATTTTTAAGTTTTACCCGATCTAGCTCATATTGTACATATTTTGAAAACACTAGCTCTTGCAAATTAAAAATCTGTGTTCTTACAACCATTGCTTCTAAAAGCTATGGAGTCAAATTTGTGTTCTCACAACCATTGCTTTCACTCTCTCTTCTTCTCACGTCTTTTACACATGTTTCAAGGGGTTGTCTGCCACTACTGCTTCTCCCCTATGTCACCTGGTTGCAATGTAAAAAAATTGAAGAGTAGAAGTCCACCATTGAAGGTCATTCAAAGCTTTGCTTTAGAAAATAGAATTTTTTGAGTTTGTTAGTTGTTTGGATTGGGTGTTGTTCCAATGGATTGAAAATATCAAAAGGAGTTCAAAGTTTAAATTTGAAGTGATTCGGAGTAGATTTGAGCAAGATTTGAGTTAAATTTCAGAAAGACGCAAGGAAGAAGACGAAGTCGGTTTTTTGTATAATTATGTATAATCTTGTATAATAGTGTATATGAGTGTATAAATACATCTTATACATCTTTATACAAATATTTGTAGACGAACTTCTTCCACGATTTTCAGTTGCAATTCTTGTTCAAAACCAGTCCAAATCTCCATTAAATGACTTCAAATTTTATATACAACTTTCTTATACTATTTCTAACAAGTCTAATAATACCCACTCCAAATTTCTCACAAAATCGGAATTTAAACCCACATATTTATGCTTGTTAAAAATCTAATTCTCACCACCCAAATGAATTTGGTTTGTTGAACTAATATTTGAGTCACAGTTACTGATTCGAAAATTAACTTAAAAACTTGAGCAATCTTTTTTAAAAATTTAATGGTAATTTTGAGAACTTATTGGAGTTGGATGTTGAATCTTAGCCAATTATTTTTGGGCTAGTTGGTTGTAAATTGAAATATGGGCTATAAAATTGAAAAGTGGGGAACTCAATTATTCTTATGTGAAATTTTCCCATCATTAATCATATTAACAATTTTATGAAAACGTTTTTATTTTATTTATTAAACTTTATTTTAAAAATATTATTTTACATTACATATTTAATTAAAAACATTCAAACTTTAAATTCTAAATTTAACTAATAATTCACGTAAGTCATATTCTTGTATGAACAAAGAACCCCTAAAAATGTTGCCTAGTACATATGGGAAAACAATCGAGGAGCAGTGGTGAAACCATGAAATTCAATAAGGATGTTTAAATTTTGAATACCCTTTGTCGGTGGGCTATGTAAAGGTGTTCAAAGTTTATTTTTAATCAATAACAAGTAATATTTTACCTTATACGTAGTATAATTTTTCAGCGATGGGCCAACATAGTTTCGCCCCTGCCGAGGAGACTATACAGGCTCGACTCGGGCTCGGTTAAATTATACTCCCTATATTCTAATTTATTTGATGTATTTTGAATTTTGAGAGTTAAAATATTTTAGATTTTACCGTGAATTTTTTATATAGATTTTTAAAAAAGTATAAGTCATAATAATTAATAATTTAAAATATTTAAAAGGCATATAAAAAATTGCGATGAAGAAAAATTCGTTTAACTCTTGAAATCCCAAATGCATCAAATAAATTGTGACAGGAGGATTAATAAAGTTAGATTGGATTCGGCTCGGGCTCCATTCAATACTGTATAAATCTCATTAGGCTCGACTCTGACACTACGTAGCTGGATTTTTCAAACTAACTTATTTTCTATACAAAAATAAGAAAATAGATCAGTAGAAGTTAATTTCATTGATTACATGCCAATGACACGCACTCAACTAAATCTTTGGATCCTATTCAAGATTTGAATATCAATTTATGGGAACAAAATAAATAAGCACAGTGAAATAATATAAAAATACTCCATTGTGAAAGACATTTATTACTTCACTGTCATCCTATTATCCATTATGACATACCTCAATTATATAAAAAATACTATAAATTTCAATTTTTCTCATGTCAATATGATAAAAAAAAAAAAAAAAAATTAAAATGTTCAAACTTCATATAGTTTCACTCCCGATAAGTGAAATATATCATCTAAATTTATATGGATGGAATACATCCTTCGTTCACTTTTAATTGTTCATTTTTATTTTGCACTCCTTTTAAAAAAAAAAGTATGTACTTTACAGTTTTATCCATAATAATGATAGCATTTTTAAAAATCATGAAAATAATTTGGGAATGAGTAGTTTTTTTTTTTTCACTTAATATCACCATTATGGTGAGAGGATAGACATGACCTCAACCGACGATAAAAAGGGAGGATTCGATACAAGAAGGGTTGATAAAACTAAGCTAATTGGCCCCTTAGTTAAAAGCTGAGGAGCACAAAACAGAGAAATAAATAGCTAAAGCTACAACTTAAAAACCTGTGAAGGCCCAAAAAAAAAAAAAAAAAAAAAAAAAAAAAATTGGCTAGGCTAAGCATTGAATGACTTTTTGGTAGTCCTAATTCGGAAGTTGACCAGCTGGTTTCTGTCATTCTTCAAAGCAGCTTTCACCTTCATAGGTAAAGTGTTAGCTTCCATAAAGAAAGTAGAAGATTTCCTATGTAAGCTCCAATTAGCTAGCAAGTCGGCAGTGCAATTGGCTTCCCTGTAGCAATGGGAATGAGTAGTTAATGCAACAACAACAACAACCCCAGTTCGATCCCACAAATGGGTCTGGGGAGGGTAGTGTGTACGCAGATCTTACCCCTACCTCATACAGATAGAGAAGTTGTTTCCGATATACCATCGGCTCAAGAAACAATGGAAAAAAAGCACCAAGTAGCAAAGAATGTTAGCAAAAATGTAACACATTAACGTGTGCGAATGCCGCAACATGTGTGATAAAGAACCGTAAATAGGAGGAATAGTAGTTAATGATAAGGATAAAATAGGAAAAAAAAGATTGTCTTTATCTTAATTTAATATAGATGACAAGTAAAAGTAAAAAATATATTTTTAGAATAGTGGATAAATAAAAGTGAACAGATGGAGTACTCTCTCCGGTCCACAATAATAACCAATTGACTTGGGCACATCCATTAAGAAAATATTAAATTCTAGACAAAAATAGTTAGTGTGACTAATTTGCCCTTAATTAAATATTGCAGCATAATTTAATGTGAGAAATAAAATATTTTTTGGGGATACGTACATAAGGGTAATTTTGAAAAAATAATTGAAATTTTTTCTTGACTATATAAATGAACACTTATTTTATATCAAAATAAAAGGTAAATTTGTCACTTATTATGGACCGGAGGGAGTATTATTTATCAGGGTGAAAGTGTATCATGACTTGTAATCGACAAAGGCAAAAACTTGTTTTTATAAAACAAATGCTAAAATATTAATGTGCACGAAGTGATGAATGAATGCATGTTCATCTATCGAGGTAGTATTTAAATTTTTTTTTTCCGTGCACGAAATCAATGCTCGTTCATCTTATCGAGGCGGTAGTATTCAAAATTTATTTTTTAAAAACAATTTACTTAAAGAGGTGGTATTAAGCAGTGAAGGGTAGTTTGGTCTTTCCATGTGCACACACTTCCTATCCCTTTATTTATAGGAGTCTTCTATCAGCCAGCTTCATCGAAAGATTTCTGAAAACATTGTCGTGAGTTTAATTAAGCAAATTGAGAAAGGATAAGAAAAATGGAGAGAAAAACTTTTGGGCTTTTCTTCCTGCTTCTCATTGTGTTTGCCTCACGTAAGTCTTTTTCCATATTTAGGATTTAGGACTAATGCTCACTGTCTCATTTTATCAGATTTAAACTTATATGCATTTATAATGTGAAAAACTTTTACACCATTGACTTGGTTTTATCCATGTTATAATAGGATAGTTACCTTCTTCTAAGTTACTAATCCATTCTTGATATCAAAAGTTATTTGTAGTTGGAGTAAAAAGTAACCTTGATGGTGTAACATTTATATTGTACTGGTTGTGTGAAAAAGTTAAACTCGTAATTTTATAAATTTGCAGAAATGGCAATCTCACGGGTGGAGGGAAGAGTGTGCATCTCACAAAGCCACGGCTACCACGGTACATGCGTCCATGACCACAACTGTGCTCTCGTTTGCCGCAATGAAGGCTTCTCCGGCGGAGACTGCATTGGCTGGAGACGGAGGTGTTTCTGCACCAAGCTCTGCTAATTGGATCTATCTGTGCCAGCCACAATTTGAGTACTGGAAATCTCAAAAAAAATGTCATAAGCCATTGGCTATCTTTAGTTTAGTTATTGTCCTTTCCTGTTATTGTTTTCAATTAGGGACTAAATTGTACCCTTCATAGAAGGAGAGCATCTATGATGCTTTTGTACCCTTTCTCATTTACTAGTTAGTAAAAAAAACTCAACGTTTCTTATTAACGGCAGTTTGTATTCTGTGTTCGAAAATTTAAACTTACTTGGCAAAGAAATGATAAAAATTCTAATCCACTTGTTTCCGACATGGCTGTGTGATCCCAACTAAGGTAATTTATCCAAGAAAGGAGAAATCAAATTGAATTATGTTTATTTTTTTGGTCTCATAAAACTAAAGTAAATCTAATCAACACGAAGCTATTAATTGATACCAGTAAATCAACAGGAAGAATGCAATATAATAATTGCCTATCATCAGTATTGGACATCTTTTAGCACTAGCAGATTACTTATTAGGGACAAACTAGCAAAGTGGGGTGTGGTGGTTGATCAAAGATGCCTCTTGTGTAATACAGAGGATGAAAGCATATATGTTCTTTGAATGTGTCACTGCAATTGTATGGAACAAACTTCTCAGTTGGCAAGGCATACACAGTAAGGTAAGTCAATGGCAAGAGGAGAATTGGGCAATTGTAAATGCTAGAGGGAGAAGTGCTACAATTACAGGGTATAGGATGGGTCTAGCAAGATGCATATACCACATGTGGGAGGTGAGGAATCATAGGTGCTTTCAAAATACGTATACAGAGGGACGCAGGGGTTATCATCAGACAGCTTATTCAAGAACTGTTTCATAGAGGCAATTCTAAGCCTAAATTAGCGAGGTTAACACAATTGAATTTCTATCCATAGAGCTATTGTGCTAACTGTTGGTCTGAGTTGCTTGCTAGCTAGAGTTGGGCATGTCGCCCAGGTACTAGCCAGTTTTTTGTTTTCTCTTTGAGTTGTAAATAGCACTTTGGTAAATAGATTTCTTTTATTTCCACAAAAGAAAAAGAGTGGGACCTTTCTATGGTTTTAACAGGGTGCAAAAGAAAAAGAATAGGATTGAGCATAAATCACAAATAGAAAACACGTTAAGATCCAAAATGCAAAGAGCTCCAATATGTTCGGCATCTGAAATGGATTAACGAAGAAGCCAAACTTGATCCCTTTCCAATGTTCGCGGTTAGGATTCCATTATCAAGCAACAGAGTCCCTTCTAAGTCATGAGACAACTATTCTGCCCAGCTTCAAGTTACAAGATGGGCATTTTTTACTGCTTTATATTCTCAGCTTTACACTGTTTTTAGCCTGACCGTAACTAATCTGCAGAAATTGAGAGCAGTTAACCTGTGACCACAAAACACAAAATACTAAATCAGGACAAACTGATAGAAACTGAAACAAATCTCCACTAGAACACAATGGACTTACTTCTCTAAGCATCAACAACCTGATGATACTTTTTTAATCCTACTAATGCTAATGGCACCAATTCAGCAACAACTAAAAGAAGACAACGTTGAATGGATGATTTTCCTACGTTTGGGCTACCATGGGATTATCCGCACTGTTAATCATTCATTCACATAAGGTATTTTCGTTAATAGTCATCAAACTAAATTAAACACAATTCCCACTTCATTCATTCATTCACACCTAATTCATCCAATTCAAAATGTAATGAACCTCAATGGCTGCTACCACTGGAATTACTGCCACCAGATGATCTTGCGTCCATGGATGGAGCAGTAGGTGCATCATTTGGCTGCAAAAGCGGAAAAATGAAGGGTATAAAAATCTTTTGAATACTAAGTAACAAATAAAAGTGTAAGCTTGTTTGTTTAGTTCTTTTACAAATGAAGAACAAAACTAAACCAACAACACCACTAACCCAAACATTAAAGAACTCGAGTGTTACCGTTATAGGAGGAGAATCAAAAATCCCTGCAAATTGTTCAGGTATTTTCCCTTCCTTCATTATCATGTATGCTTTCAAAGCATTCATCAATTGATTGTACTTCTCTTTGCATTGATTGTACCTCTCTTGGCATTGATTGTACGCCTCCTGGCATTGATTGTACTTCTCTTGGCATTCATGAAAATATGAACCATCATTATTGGATGAAAAGTTAACACCACCAAGACAAAGTCTTTTCTGTCTACAACTACTGCTTGGAGCAGCTCCAAATCCCAGGCATCTCACCGTTCCAGGGTGCTCATTTCCTAGCACTTTACCAACATAATCATTTGAAGACACTTCATGCTCATCCGTGGTACTTTGTCTCAAAGCTAGCTCAACTTTTTTCTGCATAAAACATTCACATCCCATCATAAATTTGAGCAAAGAAAGCTGCAACTACTAAGAAAATATAGGTCTATCACATAATGCTGAAACACAAAAGAACAATGGTGGAACATGAACTAACAAACAGGAAGATACCTACTGCCTAGGACAATCATGAAATGGGGCATGATCTAAATGGACAACCACAAGCCTATCTTATGGCATCAGCATCAAGGTAGACCGTAATTCCATGTAACACAAATGGGCAAAGCTTTCAAACATGTTTTCATTTCCTTTAGCTTCGGATTTTGGCTTTACTAGAAGTCTGAGAAGCAGCTGGATAATATATCTTATCGCATTAATTTTTCTAATATAAAATACTTTTACATTTGTTCTCCACAGAAACTTTGAAGGAAAACAAACCTCTTCTACGCGTATATGCTTAAGCTAATCAATGTTCAATTCTATCGTGGTATCCTCATTTAGAAGTGGTTTCCTCAATGTTTAACTGAGACCTTGGTAGAAGTGGGAGACTCAGAGATTGGGAGTTTCTACCTGCTTATATATATTTTCCCCAGGCAAGAGTAAAATATTGAGATTCATTTACTACTGCCTTCAGGCTAAGGAGTGGTTTCAAGTTTTATCTATTTCGCGAGTAAATCAACTAGACTTTGACAAAATCCACTCTGGAACACAAAATTTATAGCTACGATAGAACCAAAGGGCAGAATCCATTGTCAATAGATATCTTCTGCTTGTTTTAAGAGTTAGAACCAACAGAAATAACTTTTCTTGTTGCCTTTCTTTTTTCCTTAAATAACTTTTCCTATAAGGGAGGATTGGAAAGGGGGTTTAAGAAATGCTTATAGATAAAGAATAGGGAAACACATTTAGCACAACTGTTTTTCCAGTTAGGAAACAGCGCATAAGGGTTTGAAAAAAATTTGTATTTTGCTTTGCAATAGCCCCAGGAGAAAACGACAAAAACATGTTTGAAAGCTTTGCCCATTTTTGTTAGATGGACTTTACAGTTTGATATGGAGTTAATGCCATTAGATAGTGTGACCACCAGCTTTTCAGAGTGATAAATGGACCTTAGGCCTAACTCAACCCCAAAAGTTAGCTTATGAGGTGAGGATTGCCCGAGACCATGTAAGAAGACCAAGTACCTCAAATCCCACTGTGATGTGAGACAACTCAACACGGAGTTACCAAAAGTGAAGGGAGACAAGCATGGAAGATAAAGAGGCCAAGTGAAATTTCAGAGACAAAAATTGCTACCAAAACAACAAAGTAATACATGTAAAAACTTTTTTCAAGAAACACCAAAGCTTGGTACTAATAATTTTTACTGATTCTATGACCGCCTATAACATAGCCTACAATTTATGGAATAAAATAAAAAAGCAGAGAAAGGTATGAAGTAGTAAATGCAATGTGCTGAATTCATATAGTAACTGGTTTAATGGTACTGGTTGCCTGGTAATAATTTCACAACTGAAGAGGTTAAGGTAGTGAGTAAAGAAAACTGTTTTTGTGGCGGTTTATTCTGGCATTTGTCAGATGATGTTTCTTGGAAAATCAAAGCACAAGGAAGAGAAAGCACAATAGTTAAATTGCATCTTTGCCAACTGCAATGTGCCACTAATCTATACCAAGTGTTATATACAGTTCGGATGTAGTTCTGTTATTCACAAACAGAAGTAAATATAAATAAAACAAATGTTATAATGAAGAAAGGCACTGCAGACTTTGCATCATAATTGGAAGGCTACGGTACAATTCTCTTTCACTTAAGCCCTCCTAGGGGAACTCATCTGGGAAAGCAAGCGAAGAAAACAAAATAACAGATTCAGTATCATCACTAATGCCAGAGAGTACTGTAGGATATCCTGACACTTCCAAATCTAATTATTAAACAAATTACCAAATAGCGACATAGTAACAAGTCCCTGCCAACAACCGAATTACTCATAACACTTCCATGACAATGTAGGATATCTCATTCATCACAAGATAGCAATTGGATTTACCAGTGCATACTTTTCCAAGCACAAAACATATAAACTAAAAGTATTTTGTCAATAAAAACTGATGTATCAGTAGGCTACAATTGGCTTCAGAACTTTGCGAAGCTGATTTAAGTAGCAAATACACTCCAATTAATACAACAGGTATATATTTTGATGATAGTTGATAGTTATGGGCTTACTGCACATCCTATTACCGTACTACAGAGCATTTTCATACAAAAACCACCTCTGCATTAGACTACAGAAGAAGGGCCAGAAACATCAAGGATGCAGGCAACTGGGATATCTTCTACATCAAAAGAAGAAAATATTGAGTGGAAATGTAACAGGGGATTCTCAAGATATTGCAATTTAGATTAAAGTGCTTTATTGGTTGAAATCACTTGTTCTTAGCTGCAACTATTATTTGCACAGCTGAGATACTATCGACAAAATGTTGTTCAAAGAGAACATTGGCATTGTTAAGCATATATTCGTTCAAGGATAACACATGTGTTCTCTTTAATGAAACTAAAACAGGTTGCATGCTTTCAAAAGAAAGATTAAACAAGAATACAACCTTAGAAGGAAAACATGTTGCACCATTGACAAATAACAACTTACACATATGCCTCTTGTCTCCTCATTAACATATGATTCATCTTGATTCTTATGAGTAGCAGGGTAAAGCTGTCCACACCTAGGCTTTTCTCCAGTCTCAACAGGCTATAAATGGAAAGAATGACTCGTGAATAAAATAATTAAGCTACAAGAAATAGTTACAAAATGAGTAAGTTTAGTTATCAAAGTAAAACTAAAATAATTAATAGCTTCCACCATTTGAACCTTTCTTCTAAAGTTAGGTTCGGAGCCACCGGTGTGTGGATTTGTCCGTTTCTTCTGAATTTCAGCATCTCTAGAAGGATGCAAAACATTCATTTCACCATGCATAACCCAAGTGACATAATTTTTAGGGAATGGCTTGCAAACCAAATGATCGAACACTGTATCTCTAGTTTGCCACTTCGCAAAACCACATTTCGGACATGGACATTTTATTCTATCTCGTACGTTCCCATTCTTAAACGCAAAATCTAGAATCTGATTCAAACCAAGCAAATATTTCGCTGTGTTCCTTGGCATTCCCATCCAAGATTTATCCATTGGAAAGTATTAAACAGTATCTTTTTTCAAAAGCAGAGCTAATAAACCAAAATCAAATTAGTGTGCACCAACGAAGACTCTTCAGAGAACGAGTATCCAATATTCCAACATCAGCTACAAGATTTTGATGAGGAGGGAGAATGCAGTAACCTGTCAATGTTATAAGGATTAGAGACATGTTTAAAAACTTCATAAGCTAATACAATGTGAAGGCAAGTGAGAGAAATGTACATTTGTCTCTTTGAAGTTTTGGTTAGAAATGGAAAGACATTTTCATTTTTCATATTTAACAATTTTCACATGCTGAACATATACAAAGCATTGCTTCCCCATAGCAGAAAGAAAGACCAATTATATGAAGTAGCTTCAAGTTAGTAAGAAGACTCACACATGCAACATCAACGGTTATACACTAAACTCACACTGTTGAAAAACAGATATAAAGCGTTGCTTCACTTGTTTTTTGCCATAGTAGTCAAATAAACTCTTTCTTTGCAGGATTACGTTGCAGAAATCGCACACAATATATTTACACGGAAGAGTAGGTGATTGTAAAACGAGCAGCTCAACATGATGTTGTAATGATTAACAAGATTGCTAGTTGAGCAGCGAGGAAAACAAAAGAGCACTTTAGCCTTTTCGGTGGAGGATCTCTATCTCAATAGTGCCAAATAGAGATATTCGTTGTGCAACGATATTATAATTATTATCATGTACTGTAGGCAGCATATAAGCAACAGTTTCATGGTTCAACATGTTGAAATCTGAAAGGTTGTACCCAGTATTATTCATTTCAGTTAGTAATTTGGATGATGGAGGAATCAGAAGGGTCAAAAACAAAGAAAAGGGGTTGATAGAGCAGCCTTGAGAAAAGAGAGGGAGGTAATGAAATTGTAAGGTCTGCACTACTTTTGGTAATTACTAAGGTGCATATATACTTTTTTTAATTGCAAACGTTTTGCTTAAACCCAATTTGTTTGTCTCACCATGTTTGTTCTTCTTCTCTAAAACCCCACATCTGACTCCAATAGCCCTTTTCTCTCAGTTTGTTGCACTTACACATGCAATATCAAGGGTTACAATGTATTACCAGAGATTAGTATGATTCTAAGGAGAAGGAAGGAATGCTTGCATGAATTAAAGAATCACACATGCAGCATCAAACACTGAACATCATAAGAGTTGTCTATGGAACATTCAGAAGGATGGAAACAGAAAGCGAAACATTCCGAAGAACAATCATAAGTTTCAATTTGATTTTTAAATCGGAAGTTCTGCTACTAACAAGGTAACTATGGTGCTGCTTATACTACACTAAGAAATCAAAGAATTAAAGGCGGAGAAACATAAATAGGTTGGCTTACAACAGAAGCATTGCAATTCACGAAGCAGATTTAAAGAGTAATAGATAATTTAGGAAAAAGAAATACTGAAATAGAAGGGGATCTTCAGTGACATGATGAAACTGTACCTTTTGTAATCGCCGTGAGCTGTGATTTCCAGGAAATAAATTGCTTTCTTTCTTTTGTTTCTGTAAGAAAGAAAATCTTAGCCCCAAATGTTTTTTGTTTTTTTTTTCAAATGTAAAAGATAAAGAAAAAAAAAAGGGAGGGAAAACTGCCGCCTTTTCTTTTTCGGATCGTGAGATATTAACTTTCACAAATGTATAAATTGCGGAGATTAGAAATATTGCTTCAATTTGTTAGATTTAATACTAACTTAACCTCCGCAATAGAACTGTCAATATTTTTCATTTCTTAAGCATGCAAGGTTGCTTATGGCAATCATAACTTCCAGAATTTCATCATTCTTTCTAAATTATGTAAATTTCAAGTGGAAACATGCTAATTATGGTAAAACTTAAGCTATAGATAGATTGTTAATTACTTTATGTTATTGACTTCGCTTAATGTTGGGACCAACCACACTCACGCAAGTATACGTAGTCGTCAAGTAATAAAGTAGTGAGTAAAGTATCGTTCCCATGGAGACTTATGATTAACTTTTGACTGAATCAAACTTAAATAACTGATCGATTCAAGAGATTTTTCAAAAAAAAATGTAAGTGATTAATTGACTACCAAAGAAACTATGAAGCAATGACATAACTAGAGATCGACTATAACACTTAGGCAATTTCGGATAAAAATCACTAGGATAGGATATTCCAAGGTCATAGGCTAGCTAACAATCTTGTTGCGTTCTTGGCTTAAACTGACTAATTGATTTATCTGGATTGTTGATTGACAAGATTGATATTACTCATAAGAATCCGTCGGGTTCTTACTCGCCTATTCAAGCTAACTTAATACATATATGTCTATGGAATTAAGACTAACAAGAATGTATTTACACTTCCTGTATTTCAACCAAGCAAGTCAATTAGGTATATTTTTCTATCTTAATTGTGAATATGTTCCCTGATGCCCCGGTTCAAGAACTTGCTCTATTTAATTCTATATGCAATCTAGAATTCTCACTTTCGAATTCAACTCTAGATTCGTAGATAGTACTTCACTGTTAGCTACGCAGCAAAATAATTAAGAAAAGAATTAAATAAACAACCCAATATGATAAAATCAAACGCGTCAATTTAAACTTCAAACGTCAACATTCATGTAGCACCCATGACTCCAAAATAATAAGTTTCTTAGTCACTCATGTTCATACAATCATCAAAAATAATATTTTCAAACGTAAAATCAATGACGACTAGAAGAAGAATGGAAGAATTGATCAAATCCATGCTCCCGAGTGTTTCGTACTTTTGTTCCTCTCTCAAAGTCGCGTCGTCCTTCCCAAACTAGGTTTAGGCTGGTTTTTATATGAATTGGGGTGTCTTGGGGTCGAAATAACCGAGTCTCGGCCGAAATAGGACAATTTCGCATCACCAACACCCAGGGCAGCGTGAGGTGCTAGCCCCGGTGCTGGGTTTGTTGAGCATTCTATTTTGTGCGCCACAGGTAGCGTCCCATGCTGCATGTGGCGCTCAAATGTGCACTTTTGCCTTTTCTTCTCATTTTCGCTCCAATTCACGCACCTTCATCCTAAATTACATCTGGATGATTCCTATAAATAGAAATACTCCAAATTAGCACAAATCATTATAGTACACATTTGAAATCTATGATACATGAGCAAAATGTGAAGCAATATACACAAGAATATGCATACTTAAGCCGAATATCACTTAACCTTGAAGTACACACTCGATTCTCACTAATCCTTCAAAAACAAGTGAAATGGGGTATTCCTTCGTAAGATTACCTTAATCATGTTTAGTACCAAAATTCTAATCTGCCCACACAGGGTTTAACCCTAATTAAAATTATTAAATTGGAAACTAATAACTGGCGGAAAAAAGAAGAGATAGAAACATTATAACTTACCACAATTTTTTAACCAAATTATAAATCAATAAAGGTTGGATCTTACCTCTTTTGTGTATAAAACAAATGGGTTCCTGATAGTAGGCTATAATTATGTAGTTTAGCTATCATTTACGCTCTAACTTAGCTGCACTTTATTGATATTTGAATGTTAAATGATAACAAATTGCTCTATTAAGAACTTTATGCTTTGCAGGAGCAATTCCGGGCTATGAGGACATTAAAGAGTGTTTTGGAGTTAATATGGAGCATTGAAGGCCAATCGGAGGTTAGCGCACGTAAAGGAAGAAAGAAAAAAATAAAGGCAGAAACTCCTCCAGGTGCGCGGTCAATGCGCGACCGCGCACTGGCCGTGCATGTCAGGCAGAACACTGGTCAAAATGCGTAGTCAATCCGCGATTGATCCGCGGTCGCACACGTGCTTCCAAGGAAATAGTCCAAGGTCAAGTTTGTAATTTCAAAGGCGACTAACCTTGACCTATATGAAGCTTAACTCGCCCAAAAATAGAGGATACTTGTTTTTAAAAGAACTTTGGAGGCAAGAACACAAAAAGGAGGAAGATGGAGAATCATCTACGAGTTTTTCATCTTCTTCTTCTTAATTTCACTGTTGGTTATGACTTTTTATATTATAATCTTGTCTAGTAGTATGAGTAGCTAAACCCGTCATCTAGGGTTGATGGAATCAATTGTTGGATGAAGTCTTGATTACGTTTTAATATAATTGAGCCATTTTTACTCTATAATTGTTCAACTATGTGTTGTCTTGTGATTACTTGAAAGGGCCCATGATTAATCGTGTCTAGTTACTTTGTGTTGCTTGAGAAAGAACATTTGATTAGATTGTTTTTGAACAATGCCACTTTCGGGTAAGTTAAGAGATTAATTACTTGAATTTGAAAGCGGGGTTAGAGATAAGGAAGCTTTGGTGTGATATTTATGAGTTGTACAAATTTTCAACTAGAGTAGTTCGAGAGAATGCTTCTAGTAAATTATCGTAATTGATTGAGAGATTATTACGGTAAAAAATAACTCATCATCTTTATAGAGTGTTACGGCGAATTATAGCTAACGTGTCAGGAATTAATCCGACAATTGGGAAAATTAATAACCCTAGGTCCTTTTACCACTGAATTCAACTTCATTCTTGATTATTGATAGTTTTTATTATCATCTTTCCTTAGTTAAATAATTTCTATTAATTATCAAATAAATTCTTGCATCTGAAAATTTTCTGAGCTTACCATTAGCGTTACTAAAAGTGTAGTGAATAGGTTAGTTCCCTGTGGGATTCGACTTCGGACTCTTGAACCAGATTATATTTGCAGCGACCGCTTAGTGATACGCTCAAATTACACTTTAATTAAATAGTGTAAGGCGGTCGGTGTCAAATATAATAACCCAACAAGGTTGGGGTCGAATCCCACAGGGGATATGGTGTGAAAAGTTTACTTTAGTAGTGTGGATCTTGACGTAGGTCGTAATTCTACTCCGTTAACCTAACAAGAGAATGATATGATCGTGAATTAAAGAAGTAACTAATTTTGATGTGAGAATGTAAATGATTTGATTAAGGAAACCAAGGTTGTGTCCCCGTTAATAGAATGTAATGCTATTGGTATTAATATGATATATTTCTAATTGAAGGTCCTTTGATATGCAAATGGTTTCTAAATGACTACCCAATATTTTCCAATGGTTGGGTAGTATTTTCTCTTTATGATTTTTCCAAATATAAAAGAGTTGTAATTTAAGAATAACCAATTTATGCTAAGTAGAAGCCACTTATTCCTAAGCGATTCTATTAAACAAGATTAAAGTTTTGAGTTCTTGATATTCAATTCTACCAAACCCTAACTCACTTTTACAAGTAAAGAAAGAGTAAAATGGAGTAGATTAATGTTTGCAACCACCAACCATAAATAAAGAATAAGAATTGAATAAATATCGACCAACATATATTCAATGTTAAACACCCATCAACATTACACCCATCTAGGGTCCACAACCTTAGTATTTAAAACTAGCTACTCATACTAAAATGCAAGAACAAAGTGTTTAATAAAGCCATAAAGCTTACAAAAGTACAAGATTTCTTCTTCACAACCTTTCAAATAAATAGAGTATTCAATGCTCTCTAAGTAAAACCTTATTTCAGACTTTAATGACCCACAAAAACCCTAGTTATTATCTTTATAGTGGAACAAAAGTCGTGGTCAAAATCGAACAAAAATACCCCTTCAGGTAGCTTATGCGATCGCATAATTGTAACACCCCATAAATCCGGATTAGTTGTGGATGTGTTAGATGACTATTAATGTAATCTTTTAGACATGTGAAGCCCTATCAAGATGAGTATGGGTAATGTAATACTCCGTAAATATGAATCAGTTGTGTACGGACAAGGACTATTTATGTAATACCCCGTAATTTGAATCGGTTGTGGATGCATTAAACGAGTATTAGCATGATGGTAATTGAGTAGTTATGTTACTAAGTGTATAAGTTATGTTAGAGGTGAATTGGGGTTAAAGGAGAGGCCTAAGTCTAAGCCAAGTTGGAAAATTTCAAAATGGACTAAAGCTGTGAATAAATACGCACATGACCTCACTTTGAATGATCATATCTCCGGTTCTATAACGAGTTGTGTGATGCATAACCTATAAAATTAAAGCCCTTTGAGTCTAGTTTCCAACTCAACAAACCTTTTGTCATTTGGAGGTGTATACAGAAAGTTATGACCATTTTATTTGGAAGGTGTCACTAGCGCGAAGTCGCGCGTTTTTGCTGAGTATTCTGCCTCGCGCGCGAACAAGCGCACGAACTCGCTCGTCTGGAAGGTTTTAAATACTTTAAAGGCCGGAAATAATAGAAATTGAGTCACTTCTCAAGCTTAGGGTTTCCTCTACACCCCAACTCGACCACGGCATCCAATTGCACACCTAAGGTGAGTTTTTAAGTGTGTTTTCATGGTGATTTCACTTCTCAATCACTAGTTACAACATGATTTTGATTGGGTTTCATAGGATTTCTTCAAAATCTCAAGAACACCCCAAAAGTTGTCTTTCAAGATTTGGTCTACAAGAGGTAATCCTACACCCTTAGACTTACATATATGGTGTTATTATGGAATCATGAGTATAAATCAAGTATTACAACTTATAGTATGGTGATTGGAAGCCATAAATTTCCAGTTTAAATACATGATCATGGTAGGGATTTAAGGGTGATTATTTGATAGGATTTGTTGGTTGGGTGTGAATGGATGGT